CCCCCCCCCCCCAATTTTCCGCGAGGTGATGCTTGATCCTGGTGAAGTCCCGAAAACTGCCTGCCCAAGTTCCACATTCTGATTGCTAAGAAAAGTCATTTAAAATGAAGAAGACCTATTGGAAAACGAGATTTTCCTTGCAGACACTGGGTAACACTGGGTCCTTGACAGTTTCATATGGCAGTGGTGAACGGGCATAGTACTATAATGAAATTTCTACCAAAGATCAACTAACAAACAAAATAAGATTGAAAAAGGAAAGAAAAGAAGAACTGATTCTCTGCTAAGTAAATTCTTAATGAAATTCGGCCAGAAGTTAATAATAAGCTCAAATATTGTGTTCTAGTTTTTCAGTCGAATGTCAAACACAACCAACCAGAATTAATTAGTCCTCTTGCAAGTGCCTGCGCCATTTTTCCAGCTCCAATGAATCCGATCTTCATCTACAAAGCATTTTTCATAGAAAAGAAACAATGTGAGGTATGCTGGAAATCTCGAGTTATTCCTATACCAGCAAAAAAAAGCAGGACGATAGTGGCGATCAGCAAGTGACCACAATGACTGGGGTTGTCATTCCACTGATATCGAACGCGTCCTGCGATCTCTTCCAAGAATACACTCTCTGCTGCATCTGGGTCACCACCGTTATCACTTTCTCTTTCTACATACCCTTTTTCTGGGATGGTCAACTTTGGTGGGTAGGTAATACTAGAGCAGTCGCATCAAAACTATCATTTGAAAACTGACAATAAAACAGCTCTTCAGAAATATTTTTGGGCAGTTCTTAATGTCTCATAAGGAAATACATATGTCCGAAAGATGCTTCAAAGCTAGTTTAGGAAGCCACGTCATTTTTGCATACGTGTACCATCTCTACGAGACAGTACTTCTGTTGTATTGTTTCTTAAAGGCAATTCCCGCGACCACACTTCATAGGTAATACAGTTCAAAAATAGAATTGCCCTGTGATTGTTGACTTATTGAAGAGAAGGAACCACGAAAAAGCGCCCGCAATAAGACTCCTCTTTATTGCAGTTGATCAGCGATACATTGTTTTGGTTGGCTTGGGTGGGAGTCGACCCGGGATTTGAACCCAGGACTGCGCGAGTGGTAAGCGCGCCACTTGTCACTACACCACCTCCGCCCCACTTACAACAATGTATGCTTCAAATAAAGCTGTCATATCAATACTATCAATTTGAGTGCTTTCACTGACGTTGAAATAAAATTTCAGAGCAAAAAATCATCCACAGTGTTTATAAGGGGTAACGAGTGGGCCCTTATGGTCGAACAGGTACGTAAACTATTCCGAAGTGTTAAGCATACCTTTCAAGAAAAAGCGACAATTACAAATGCATCAGGAACTGAAAAGTTGTTCCTCACAGCTATGAGTCCGTACTTCTATTAGGTTGTCCGGAAAGTTCTTAGCGTTTTGTGC